ACTTTTCACAGTCTTAGTATTCTTAATGACTAGAAAACTGATGTTAATGTGTAAAATCAGTGTAGCGCTCCTTTAATGGTTGCGATGATAACCAAACGAAAGCCAGCAAAGTCAATTTAGAATTTCTTACACCCTTCAGTAAATTAAACTCAAATGTTTCAAAGTGGAGATCTTTTATGGCTCACCATCTTGATGATCCACAATGGCCACCAGGGGGAAGCAAAGGCCCCACTGTAGTCTATACTATGAGTTAGTTCAGTGAAACATTTAACACACACTAAGCACAAAGGACCTCCGCTGCCCTTCTTCCAAACACACAAAGAAGTGTGTTTAAAGAGCAAGAAAACTGTTTGGTCTCATCAAGTCTCTGTGGGGTTAAATCCCCAGTAGGCTACTGTGCAAAGTGTCCCAGTTGTGCAATCGCATATTATTTTGGAAATGTGAGCAAAAAGCGTGACGCATTCCTTCACAACAGCTGAATGAGCAAGTTTGAAGTGATATGGTATGAAAAGATAATTTCTCCAAAATGATATGCGCACAATACACCATTGTTCGTCTCTTCAATAGGTAAAAGCTACATTGCGTAAAGGTTTCACAGATTGTACTCCTGACCAGCCATTTCTCAAAAAGGATTTATAAAATGAGAGGTTACCCTTAAAAATGTTCCCAGACAGGTTTTTCTCTACCTTTTCCACCTTTGTTTTTCCCTCCAGCACCTTCAACCAGTTGGCATAGATCAGCCCAGGCAGAATGAGTTTGATCTGTCGGTCACGGTTTGTGAACAAACATTCCAAGTTGGCCTCTCCTCCCAAGCTAAATGACACCAGCAGCGCAGGCCAGTGCTGTTTATGAAAACGTTGCAGTTTTTCAATGTTAGGATAAAGAATAAACTGCCAATCTGAAGTGTTAGTAATCGTCAACTATGTACCAGCTCATTACAGACACTAGCACTGAGTCTCTGACGATGGTTTGGGACTGCTGCGGTAACCAGCGTGGCTCAGCACGACAGACCTCAAGGGTTATTTTATCAAAAAGTAAAATTATTTACATTGGTTGAGAGTAGGACTTCTCTGAACGTACAGTCTGCTAGCTACTGTTTTTGAAACGTCACATTTGTTGTAATGAAAAAGCCGATACTATAGCAAGCTAACAAAGCTAACCGCTGGTGCCTAACTGTCATAAAACAGGCCCACTGCGCGTCGCTCTTCATCCCCATCTTCTTATTCAGTGCTTGTCAACCCCAGGTTCACTCTCGTTTTGGAACAAGATTGGTCCACTTGGAGCTTTGCCTCGCTATGTTAGCATTTTTTTCCTGGCGCTATGTCCGCAAATTCATAACTTTCTCACACCCTGCGCGTGTTATTGGCTGGGGGCTGCATACTCAAGAGGCGCCAAGCTCCCCCGTAGTTTGCACCCTGCCTACAACCTCGACCATCGGAACCCTGCAACAAGAAATAACGCTACTCTTATACTCATGGATTTTCTGGTGCGAAAATGTTTCTCGGTGTTGGTGAATTATTAAAAAAAAAACCACACCACTTAATTTCAGGTTAAAATGCGTTGTAACGCGCGTTACTGACGATGTAACGGAATAATATTACCGTTTTTAAAAATAGTGTGTTATATTAGTGTTACAGCAAAAAGCAATACATTACTGTAATTGTGTTACTTTTGTAACGCGTTACTCCCAAAACTGACTAACACACAGCTAAACCTTTTCTCTCACAGGAAGAGATGACCAGCGCTTTAGCCACCATGCGTGTGGACTACGACCAGGTGAAGATCAAAGATCTCGATACGTCCAGCAACCCGCTACTCAACAAGAGACGCAAGAAGGCCGCTGCCGGGGCCAAGAGTGGGTCCACGGTCTGCCAAAGTCAGTGAGACACAGAGGACTGTTGGTGGAGATGTGCTGGAGAAGATCATGTAGAGACCTGCTCAGGACTCTGGAGAAACTGGGTGTTGAGCAAATGTTCCTTGAAATAAAAGGGACAACAAAGGAACAAACATCAAAGTCAGAGATGGACGTTTATAAGACGTATCTGTTTTTAATTACTTTTATGTATGTATGTAATTTTTAGATCTTGCCTGTTTGTCTGAGTGTCTGTGTGCAGACATGAAGTATTTTTAGTGGTCTTGTTTTGTGGATTTGAATGCTGGGTCGTCTATATGAAGTCTCCTCTGTAACTATGCACTAGTGTGCAACTCACACACAAAGACAGACAAAGCAACTGTAGACAGACTGTGAACACATTATTACCTGCGTTGTCTTAATATTGCCTGTCTTTTGCTGCCTTCCATTCTGGAATTAAAGCAAAGTCTGACACTGACTGTCTTGTCCATGATATGTAGCCTCCACAATGACCCAAGGGAGCATTTTTCATAGAAACATCAATAAAATGGCATCACACGACACACGTACTACCAAAGCATTAAGTGTCACTCACTGCTGCCGATCAACACTGGGTCCTCTTAATGCAGCTGTGAGAGGCAGCATGCAACCTGTATGCTTCCTGTGAGTGTGAGGCCAGAGAGTTTTATGTAAGCAGTAGTGGAGTAATGGCTGGTTGTGGTACATAGATAAGTTGTGACACTTCTCTTGAGAAAGGTTTGCGTGTGGGGGAGGGGGGGGGTGAAATGCTTCTAGTAATGGGGAGGAAGTTTCACTTCACAATAAAACATGAGCAAGACGGTGCAGCCTTCCATCATTTATAAAGTACATCTACTCCATGTAGCGATTGCATTTGTCCGTACTGTTGTAAATAAAACTTTATCAAGTAAGAGGTGGAGTGTTCATGCGCACGATGTTTTTTGTGTGGACCTGGGAAGTATTGTTTTTGTAATCGTGCCTTTCAGGCTTTGTGAGGCTGCTATAAATAGCAGCAGTGGAGTAGTTATTTGCGACGCAGCCATCTGACTTGGTGTTTGTGCCGTGGTGGAAAAGGTCAACATTATTATGTTTAGGTTATGGTAAGTACCTTTCCCCTACTTCGATCACACGGTCCCCAGCAGTATTTAGGGGATAGATTAGGGGAAGCTTATATAAAAATGACTTGGCCTCCCAGCTGTGAACGTCAGCCATGATTAGATGTGGGCCAAATAGAGCATGACCCCTCAGCTGTTGTTTGGTGCTCCCTTACATTGAAGAAGAAAGTATGAATGTTCTCAGAATAAGACAATGAGAAGGTGTCTCTGGGTGGAATTTTACAGTATGTTGCAAATGAGAGTGAGGCAGTGGTTTTTCTTTGTACATCAGCCATTTTGTGGAGACGAGCACAGACTTGATTACAGCATTTATTGGTTACACTAATGATGTTGACATATCAGTGTGTCATACACTTCCTACTTGTGTTATTCCACAGACTGACCCCCCCTCCCCAGAGGATTACAAACCTCAACACAACAGAAGTGTTTATTACCTAATAAGGTAAAGTAGGGGTCTGTTTTACAGCACTATTCACAGGAGATATAGAAAAACGTTTTAAATATTTGTTTTTGACAAGAAATTATTTTTATTTTAGATTGATTTATTGAATCTACTGGTACTTTAGGCTACAGTGAAAGACAGACATAGCTCTGCCTGAAATAGTTCAGTCAGTCTGTCATGCTCAGTTGGTTTCCTTTCTGTTGTACAGACCTCAACAAATCCTTGATGTCTTGATTGTCTGATTGTCTCATGAATCCACACATGTGCAGTTGCAGCCCTTGTGCCCGACAATTAGTGTCATCATTATCACAGGCTGCTGATAAGGGTATCATTATTGCCACTGAAATAACCCTATGTCTGTGCTTCCTCTGGCCACCAGATTTACATGATCTCATAGCATTGTACTGCCACGGTAAGACGGCTGGTTCAATGAGCTGAAATTGGATATAGTACCTAAATTTAATACTTGATAAAACAGTAATCAACCCCCTGACTGACATCCACCTAAAGGTTTTTCATTTTGAAAACTTTATATCAATAAATTATCTTGGTGTTTTTAAAAGGGAAAATTCCTTTTTAGTATCAAAATGAAAACAAACATTGAGAAATTTCTCAATATTGAGCACAAAAAATATAAGTCTCTCCCATCTGAGCCATGAAACCCTTTAGCTCATTCAGTGTCGACGGATCTCTTGTTGGCCTCAATCACAAATGCCCGTCTCTCCACTGGATGTTCTGGCATTCTCCCTGTGACTGGTACAGGACTTCCCAGTAAACTTGCCCTAGACTCCTCTGGATGATCCCTTGCCACACCTTGGTTACACACAGGTTCAACGCAGAAAAACAACTTTTAAAAACAATAGGCTGGCAGCCCCAGTGCTGGTTTAGGTGTGTCATAATAAAGTGTTAAAGAGTACTCTGCTTATTTGTGTCAAAATAAAATTGTTGGAGTGAATATTTTTAGTAGTGCAGAAAAACACGTTCTGCAAGATAGACTGTTCCTGGAAAACTCGCCCTTTTGGAAGCTTTGCAACTGTTTTTTTTTTGCAACAAAAAAACTCCCAGTGAATATTTGGTATCCTTAACATGTATGTTATTAAGGAGTGTCCTATAAGGCATGCCTAAGTATACAAGCAAAATACAGAATATTGCTATTAAATCTTACTGTCTGTGGTGAATATATATTATGCTAAGTCTATAGAACTGTAATAAACCTATGTAGTTTAGATGTGTACGTGTATGCTGTAACGTTTCCTAAAAATGTATGTAGTATCCTAAATATAGATCAGTGTCACAGGGTAACACTGAAGCCCTTAGCACTGATGGGAGACATTGTCCAACTGTCAAAAGGTGGGTGGGGCATTGGAGGGTGCAGGGGGGCGGGGGGGGGGGGCAGGTATGCTGCTACCTCACTCCATCCAGTTTTGGAGAAAGCCTTCGTCCCGGTCTGAGGTCCCACACACACGTCACACGGTGAGTGTGTGTACAGTCAGCTTCAGTGGAAGCGCTCAGCAGGCTGCTGTTGGACGCACGTACACACCGCCGGCCACTGCGCTCCATCAGACAGACGCCCATGATGAGAGGCTGCTCCAGCAGACCCAAGCTCACACAGAACCAGGGCAGAGCGGGTAAGAGACGCCGCGTTGGGGGGCTTTAACAGAGCCGTGCATGCGGGAGCTTAAAAGTGTGCATCTTTAACAGACGGAGAGGGTTCGTGCAGCCCTTGAAGACGTAAACAACAGGCGACGTGCTGCGCGGTGTGTTGGCGCTGTCACCGAGACCTTTACCCTACATAGTGCTAACTACAGGCAGCAATCCTAGTTTTTATTTATTTATTTTTTCTTACAGTGGCCATGCCTTGTTTATAACAGCAGCAGTTGTGCGTTAACACAGGACGAAGAGCCAGACGGGTGTTTTGGTGGCTGCTGCAGAAACATGTAGGCTAAAAAACCCAATCTATCCCACAATCTAATTGCTTCGTGCAGACTGGAGCTGATCTGCCAGGTTTCCTCTCAGTTATTAATAGGCTATTATTGTTGCCATGTTCCACACACGGATCATGCTGGACATGCCGTTGCAGTTAATGGTTTGCGTTTTCTGGCTGTTTGTTTGTGTTTGTGGCTGTTGCTCATGTTGGGCTGCGATGCAAGGCATTTAATCCATGTCTTCTAAACGCTGCTCCACGAGCCTCTCCACGTGGGTGAATGCTAGTTTGAGTGTATAATGTTAACATACTATATTGGGAAATGACTTGTCCGGTACTAACGTTACAGGCTAAGGGCTGTTAGCTGCAATCAAAGTCTGGCAGCTTCTGGGAGGTGGAGGAGGAGCACACAGATCTGCTTCCTGTTCATGTTCCAGTGTGCAGCATGCAAGACACCTCATTTACCCTCTCTGGGAACTGACATTTTTCACAGTTCACAAATCAATGCACAGCGTGCCTGCTGCTGTTTCTGAAAGGCTACCCAAGCTTAATGCAGATAAGATAAGCTACTTTAAATAGCCCACCAAATAATAACCTTGTGTTGCCTAACCGGCCTTTACAGGATGTGCCAAGGTTTGTAAGGGTTTTTCACAACTCTGCACTGCTGTGTGTTTATATTAGCCAGCTGAAAAAGCTAAAAATACATCCCTAGCATGAGTTCGTGTGCCATTTATTTGTGGACATGATGAACTTGATATAAATTATATAGTCTACTAGCAGTCAGGGAATTTGAGAGCTATTTAATTAGAAAACCTCCATTTCACCATATTTAGGTCAAGGGCCCTGTTACTGCACCACCAGAATGACTCTAAAGCTTAATATAATCAGTGCATCAGATAGCCCATGAGGAACAGTTAACAGATAGGCCTCTTAACCTGAAAATGTACAGTGACTTACCACTATATCAGGCACAACTGTGCAGTGCAGTCCATCACCTCTGCAAAATATCCTGTCTGTGGAAAGCTTATAATGTTCGTTTTTGTTGGGCTTATCTCTGTGGTCATTTCTTAGGCCATTGTGATGGTGGTGGAGTCGTACTCAGCTGCATTCATTTGAAAGGCACTCTGTTCAGAGGACAGAATATTAAACACCTTTGTACAAATTCTCCGGCACCTTGCACTGGACAAAATCTGCCTTACAGGTGTTTCCTGTAAACTGGCAGTACCCAGGTCAACACAACACACACACAAAAAGGGGAGAGTAATGCTGCCACCTCATGGAGATTGTCAGCTCATGTGTAAGAAAGTGTCTGTAAGAAAATGTGTTCTTATTTACACCTGTGCCTTTCCTGCTGTGACATGTTAAAATGCCCGCTGCTTATGGCATTTTTTTTTAGAATTAGCTGTTAGAAATGCTCAAAAGGAAAAGTTTACTTCAAACAGAATCAATACTTTGTAGTCTGTCCTCATGACACACCGCAAGTTGTCTCGTTCAGTTCTTCCTTTTTCAAAACACAGTGACTCACAGATGTTTCTTGTGTGACTGAAAGCCATTTTCCACATTTAGAAACAAGCTCATACATTTGACTTAAATGATCTGAAGACCAAAAAACATCAGCACAGTTTAGATGATTAATTGTGTTGTTTGTAAGAACTGGTTGGTTGATTTCAGATTGATTGATTGATTCCTTAATTCATTCATTCACTGAGCATTTTGGTGAGTGAATCAACCCTTATTGATGAAGAAAGTTTCAGGAAACTCA